GAGGTTAAAGGTCAAAGGTTTTTGGTGCATTGGGTGGCCCACTCTGTTCTGAACAAATTTTGTAGAGGTCATTTTTCGATATCTTAAAAATTAAAAAAACGCTTTTAGGCAGTTTTTCAAGCATTTGACCTTAAATCGACCTTCTCAAGGCCATGAAAAAAAATTTTAAAATACCGTTTTGGACGTAAAATTTTCCGCTCTTTCGATTGCCGTTGTCAAAAATAGGGATTACCATTTAAAAAAACAAAGTTGACCTTGAAATAACCTTGAAGGTCAATCTCAAGGTCAAATTCAAGGTCACCATCGGATTCCGCGTTGAAAGTTACTAAAGGAATGACCTTGACCTTGGTCTAATAATCTGTACCTAAAAAGCTACAGCCTTATTCCGTTACTTATTTGACACCTTGTATATATATGTAAACGGATCGCCCGTTTCTGGGCCAACATTTTTCTGGGTTTCGGCATATATGGATTGCTTTTTTCTGGGATCCCCACAAAACATAAAAGTTTTTTTCTAGGATGCCTAGAAAATTGTTTAATGTGTTTCTGGTCTTTGATGGTTAGTACAGGTTTTTAACCTGTACTAGGTTTGTATACTGTAATAGTAACTTAATTGTCATTCTTATATTTTTAACAATATGAATGAATTGGAAGTTTTAAGCAAATTGAGTAGCTGTACTTTATCTATTTTAGATAGTTTATCAAGAAAATTAGTTTTAAACGTGCATCTAAATTTTCCAGTTATGCAAATATGCCTAACTAATTTAGATAATTACATAAAAATTAATCTTCGTGAGCCATATTTATCATACCCAATAAGTAGTAAAGAAATACATTCAGAAAGCATTCAATCTATTTTACCACTTATAGTGAAATGTATTAATATTGATAAAATGTTAAAAATTATCAGTACTCAGCAACAAATATTTGATTATTTGAATATTTATTTGAAGCTCATAAGTTCTAATGCTTGTTTCATCATTAAAAAAACTTATCGTTATAAAACTATTCAGAATCAAGTAAGAATTATAGCCAAGAGAGTCATTACAAAAAATACGAAAATTGAAGAATTAGTTGGATTTAATTGTACAATTTCTGATAAAGAACTAGATATATTGATAAAAAAGAAAATGGATTTTTCTGTAACCTATACTACAAAAACAAAACAAAATAAGCTACTCATAGGTCCTGCATCACTTGTAAATCATGATTGCAAAGCCAATAGCACTTACCTATTGAGAAATAACATTACGAGGTGTGTTCAAAAAATAACGAGAATTTTCGTTTTATGAAAAAAATATTTATTTATTCATCTACATTAATGTTGTTGCCTTCAAAGTAGTCCCCTTCGAATACAATACACTTATGCCAACGCTTTTTCCAATCCTCGAAACACTTTTGAAACTCGATCTTTGTAATAGCTTTTAGCTCTTTCAGCGATTCGCTTTTCATGTCATCTATGCTTGTAAAACGACGGCCTTTTAATGATCTCTTTATTTTTGGAAATAGAAAAAAGTTACATGGAGCCATATCTGGCGAATATGGAGGCTGAGGCATCGTTACAGTTTCGTTTTTGGCCAAAAATTCACGAACAAGCAATGAAGTGTGAGCAGGCGCATTATCGTGGTGCAAAAGCCATGAATTGTTTTGCCACAAATCCGGGCGTTTTTTTCAGATTGCTTCACGCAAACGACGTTGAACTTGTAGGTAGTACTGCTTATTGATTGTTTGACCTTGTGGCAAGAATTCATAATGCACTGTGCCATTAAAATCGAAGAACACAGTGAGCATAACCTTCACATTCGACCGCACTTGTCGAGCCTTTTTCGGTCTTGGCGATCCAGAATGCCTCCACTGGGACGATTGAGCCTTAGTTTCGACATCATATCCATAAACCCATGTTTCGTCACCTGTTATAACACGTTTTAGTAGTTCTGCATCGTTATTGACTTCATTTAGCGACTCCTGAGCAACTTCCATTCGCCGCTGTTTTTGTTCGAAATTCAAAACAATTTTGGAACGAATTTTGCTGCCACACGTTTCATACCCAAAACATTCGAAAAAATTTGATGGCATGAGCCAACTGATATGCCAACATCATCAGCGACTTCTCTGATTGTGATTCGGCGATCGTTCATAACCATTTCTTTCACTTTTTTCACGTTTTCATCGGTTGTTGATGTGCTTGGGCGTCCGGGTTGTTCGTCATCTTCAACGTTTTCGTGGCCATCTTGGAAACGCTTATACCACTCATAAATCCTTGCTTTACTCATAGCAGACTCACTATATGCCTTTGTTAACATTTGACAAACTTTACTACACTTTATTTCATTTTTTACGCAAAATTTAATACAAATTCTTTGATCCATTTTTTTTCACAAACGAAAATCGCCGAGCTCGAAAAACACGTCTAACGTTAGCGGCTGCCACTTAAAAAGTAAGCAATGAATATTGCTGAAAATTTTATCGTACTTCAGGGGCATGTGTACCAACATAATAAAAAAAAATTTTATACAAGCGTACTCTCCAAACCCGCGAAATTAAAAAATTCTCGTTACTTTTTGAACACACCTCGTATTTATATAAAATCTAAAAAGAATATAAAAGCAGGTGAAGAAATAAGTTGTTATTATGGACCTGACTTTTTTGACCACAAGAATAAACAATGTTTATGTGTAATGTGTGAAATAAATAAAAGAGGTGGTTACTGTACTCAAGAAGTGAACTCAACTACTCAGGTAATATAAAATAACTATTATCTTTTGCATGTATGATACAAAAGTGGAAAATAAAGTAAATTATATTACTTTTATAATATATGGTCAAAAATAATTAACTTTTTTCCCTTTTCTCTTTTGATTATAGATTATTAATAACCACTTTTCATTGAAAAGTCTGAATAGATTAAGATAAAAATTGATAAAATGGGAAAATTGGTGATTTATTATAATGATTTTAATTTCAACCAACAATAAATGATCATGTTATATTTTTACATACGTTTTAACTATATCTATTATTACAGATGCAATGTCATGATGAGGAAACTGTTGAGTTTATTAAACAATTAAAAATATTTGACAAAGTAGCAAACTCAAGAAGTTTAAAACAAAACATAAGTGACAATCCTAATTCAAATCAAAGAAAACTTTATGGCCAAAGCAGAAAAAGCTTAGAATATGATAGTTATCTGTATACAACATTCATTGATTTTACTATTAGTGAAAAATTAGTTAGATCTGGGACGTTAATATTGACTGATAATACTACATGGAATATCGTTGAAAATTTTTATAATCGTAGTCATCGTTCGAGTTTTAAATAAGTAGAAAAATTTGTTGCAAAATTTCATGATACAATTGTCAGAGATGTATCAGGTAAATCTAATGATTGCATCACTTTTCTCTATTTCTATGCCTTTATTTGAAAATATATTTTGTAACAGGCTGCCGCCTAGCCGCAAACCCCGGGTAATAATAATCCGTAATACGGCCAGACGGTGCACTGTTAACTGTGTGCTCCTAGCACACTTGCTCACCTTGTCCCGGTGTGCGCCTGCGCCGAGTTCTCCTACCGATCTAACCTGGGTTCGCGATCTCTCCGCCAGGGGCGCTGGTACGCCTGCTTTACAGCGCTCCGTCGGCCACTGCTGACAACTCGGTTGGCGGGCAGCTTCTCTTGTTGCTTGCGTGATCCATGCTGTACTACCGGCGCGTTCGAATCAAACGTAAACAACAACACCGATGTCGAACAAAGGGAAGACAAAATAAAGAGAGAATCTCGTATTGATCTCTAACCGATTTATTAACTCAAAATGTACATAAGGGAGGGATTTGCCGAGAGACTTTCGCACGCTGTTTCGGTATAACAATTCAACCGGGGAGAGAGAGAGCGAATCTCGCGATCGTCGCGGACTATTCGCTCGTACGCTGTTAATAAATTCACCGCGCACGCTGCGCGGGATCGCACGCTAATACCAACAAATAGTGCTGTGCACCTACCGCGAAATCGAAGGGGATACGGTGGCCAACTGTATCCGTCTAGCCGCTGGACGACGAACTGCCTCTGCGTCTACTTCTCCGCTGGGGCTGTCTCGTTGCTGTTGATGCTGCTGAGGTTGCTCTTGTCGTTGCCGAGGCCGCGCACGTTGAGCAGTGCGCGCACTCGGCACTTCACTCGTAACTGTTATTACCGGTGTCGGAGCCACACACGTTGTGCAGTGTGTGCACTCGTTCCACCGCACCGATTGTTGTTAATAGTTGTTGGTGCACACGTTACGCAGTGTGCACACCCACCTCCACACTCACTAACAATGTACTCAACTCCCTGGATCTCACTCAGAAACAATAGAACACGTTGATGCCTCTAACTCGTGAACTACGATGTGCCGGACTGAAGGACACAGTCATACTGGCTAGCTGACTCTCCCCTCCCGGTCATTGCCCCTTACGCGCCCTCTCTCTCTCTCTCTCTCTCAGACCGATCGCGGCTGTTACGCTCAGCCACGCTTAGTAGCCTACGCGAGTCCAAACGATTTTCGGCAATCGTTGCAATTTCATTTTGTAAACTTTTTTATAAACATTATTTGTACTTAAATTAATTTTATTATTTAATTTACTAAGCCTGGTTACAATTATATTCAAATACATACAATCAACATAACGCAAGTTTCTGGTCCTATTTCAATAATTGATCAATAATAATAAATGTTTAAATTTTGAACTTTTGAGTAGAATTGTGCAGCCATTGATGAAAATAATTCAATGTACAATAGAAAATGATCTCTTTTTCTAAAATACTCATTGTACAATTTTTATCTATAAATTTCATGTACGATTTGAAAATGAAAAGCACAGTAACATTAATTAGAGCAAAACAGACTTTTTAAAATATATATAATTATATCTTTGTCATACAATATTTGAATTCCATTATTTTATAGATGAGAATACCAATAAAAGTATCAAACTTTTAGCTTCTGGAAACAAAACTAATGAAGATTATGATAAAGCATTAGTTAAAACAGCAATAAGTCTATGCCCTATAAACTTTGTGGAGTGTTTGTATGGCGAACAAATGATTTCACTACCTTTGAGAACATTAATATTAGAAAATATTTTAGGTAAATTAAACATTTCCAAAACTGCTCACAGTAAAATTTATAATAACTTGACCAAATATAAAATACATTATCAACAAATGTGCCAGCAATTGATTCATTCAGGTATGTGGTACTAAGTTATCACTTTCACATTTACATTTCATGAGATGAAACTCGATTTAACGATTGTCACATCAGTAGGTAAACTAGAGGGGCATCAACTCAGAGGGGTACTAGCACACTGAGTTGAAGCGTGTGAGTTGAGGTGTGTGCATATTCACCTCACCCCCCCCCCCCCTCCCGATCGGCCCGTGCACTGTCGATTCACCCCCCCCCTCCTACTGAGTTATACCGATGCGTTCTACGCACTCCCCCCTCCCCTACTGAGTTGATCTGATGTGGCGTATACCGGTGCGTTCTACGCACTCCCCCTCCCCTACTGAGTTGATCTGATGTGGCTTGATCTGATGTGGCGTGCGTTCTCTGCATTTCCCCCTCTCCCACTGATTTGATTCCTATGCACTACGCGCGTGTTCTGTGTTACGCGTTTTGATTGTTTTATTGTGTGTGTGTGTGTGTGTGTGTGTGTGTGTGTGTGCGCGCGTGTGCGCGCGTGTGTTAAAAATTTTTAGATTTATCTGAAAAAAAACGGACGGATCGGGGGATCGAACGCGCGTCCTCCGGATCCGCAGACCGATGCTCTACCGCTAGAGCTACAGCCACTGTTACCACGGGCAATACCGTATTGTGTATACTGGCTACACACGCGATTGATATGTGGGGGGCGGCGGCGCCGGCGGCTGCTGCTGCTGCTGGGGAGGGCCCAAGCGCTAATACAATAAATTTTAATAAATGTTATAAATAGATATTTATTATATATATATATTATTAATAATTATTTATAAGAAAAGACATTGTTATTAATAATTATTTATTATATAACAAAATATAAAAAATCTACAAAAAATACAAAAAATGTACAAAAAAATACAAAAAAATGTACAAAAATGTATAAAAAACTAACGCCTAGTTTTCGCCATCATCATTATCATCGGCGTCGTCGTCGTCGTCGTCGTCGTCGTCGTCGTCGTCGTCGTCGTCGTCGTCGTCGTCGTCGTCGTCGTCGTCGTCGTCGTCGTCGTCGTCGTCGTCGTCGTCGTCGTCGTCGTCGTCGTCGTCGTCGTCGTCGTCGTCGTCGTCGTCGTCGTCGTCGTCGTCGTCGTCGTCGTCGTCGTCGTCGTCGTCGTCGTCGTCGTCGTCGTCGTCGTCGTCGTCGTCGTCGTCGTCGTCGTCGTCGTCGTCGTCGTCGTCGTCGTCGTCGTCGTCGTCGTCGTCGTCGTCGTCGTCGTCGTCGTCGTCGTCGTCGTCGTCGTCGTCGTCGTCGTCGTCGTCGTCGTCGTCGTCGTCGTCGTCGTCGTCGTCGTCGTCGTCGTCGTCGTCGTCGTCGTCGTCGTCGTCGTCGTCGTCGTCGTCGTCGTCGTCGTCGTCGTCGTCGTCGTCGTCGTCGTCGTCGTCGTCGTCGTCGTCGTCGTCGTCGTCGTCGTCGTCGTCGTCGTCGTCGTCGTCGTCGTCGTCGTCGTCGTCGTCGTCGTCGTCGTCGTCGTCGTCGTCGTCGTCGTCGTCGTCGTCGTCGTCGTCGTCGTCGTCGTCAGCGGTGAAAAATTTTGCTATTTTGTACCGCGGGGCGCCGTCGACGGTTTCGTCCGTGACGCGCAGGCGCTTTTTCCCCGCGATGCGGAGACTCTGCATGAGCGCCGTTGTGGATAATTCCGCGGGCGATCTAGAAAGCTGCCTACTCAACGGAGCTGGCGACGGCGACCGAGAAGGCTGGCGCACAGCGGGGGAATCTTCGGGACTGCTCGACCGTGATGCGAATAATCTTCGCACCACCTGTCTGACCGGCCCGTTCCGATCGACGTGCCGCCTGCTGCCGCGCTGCGGTGGTGATTCCACCCACTGCGGCTGCCGACTGCAGCGACCAGCGACGCAGTGTGCGCACTCCCAGCCCCCGCATACTGGCATGGTGTTGTTGTGATCGCCGACCTGCAACAAAAAAAATGAAAAAAAACTTAGAACATACTACTGCCGATTAAAAAAAAAAGAAAAGAGAAAAAAAGAATCATACCTGTTCTCGTTGGCGGCAGGACGTCTCTTGTATCGCTGGTGGTGAAACTAAGTTCACCAAGAGCGGCTGTTGTGGCGTTGTGATGTCGATCATCATCACGGGTGCTCCTCGAGGCGTCACCAGGTCGACGCATGTCACGCGTCGTGATGGTGGTGGTGGTGGTGGTCGACGCGAGACAATCACCTCGCAGACCATCTCCACGTCGTCGTCGTCGTCATCAGACCTGCAAAAAAAAAAAAAAAAAAAAAAAAAGATTCTTTATTTTGAAAAAAAAATCGTTTCATATATCTATCTGTATAATAAATATTCAACTTACACATTCACCGTTGAAGATGATCGGGAGCATGGAGACGGTGGCGGTAATTGGAGTGGCGCTGTCCGATGCGTGCTGTAATCGGAAACACTTATATTTATATTATGCCGATAACGCGACTACGACGACGAAAACCGGACATCGCAAAATAAGAAATTTTAAGTACGCGAGAGAAAAGAATGTTAAATTTAAAATTGGAGTATATACTCTCTCTCATATACACACGTACATACATATTATATAACGAATAATACTTTTACATTAATAAATTGATAAATTATCTATATAAAATTTTATCAATTTATTAATACAATATTATTAGATATATAATTGTGTTATTAGTATACAGAAAAAAAAAGAACAGAACCTCTTTTTTTAATTTAAGAACATATATGCTCTTATTATTTTTAAAAAATTTATGTATAAAAAAGAACAGAACCTCTTTTTTTAATTTAAGAACATATATGCTCTTATTATTTTTAAAAAATTTATGTATAACTAATAACATTTTATTAGTATAATGGTATTAATTATAAAAAAACAGAATGAGAGAGAGAGGGTAAAAGAGAATGAAAAAAATGTACTTACAATATTGAAGGTGGAGGTGTCAGCGGCATCCGAATGGTTGCCGCTTCGTGGATGTCGTCGTCGTCGTTCCTCCTCCTCGGCGAAGGTGTTCGCGGCTGCTCGACGACGACTTCGTCCACCGCTGCTTCTTGCACCGGTAAACCGATCAATCCGAAGACTTCATCTTCGGAAAGATCGATGTCCTCGCCCAACGCCTCGATCGCTTCATTAAGTGCGTCTTGCCACGACGCATCGTCCAAGGAAAACAAATTTTCCACCCGTTCTTCACTCATTTTACTAAACACTTCACAACTCCACGACAAAAAAATCACAATGACGTATCGTTGCAAGGCGTTCGAATTTTTATTCATCTTTTGAAACACTAGCCGCGTTTCGGTCATTGGTCGAAGATTTGGGAGTAGGGATGCGAGATACGCGACAGCACTGATTTTGTCGCACGCATAAGACAATCATAATTAGTGGTGGGAGTAGCTAATGAAAATGTGATTAGTGCGGAGAAGAGACGCCAATGTGTATTAATATAGGATCGCGATAGCGCGTACGCTCTTTATTTCTCACGCAACGGACGAAGAGTAGGTGGTGGCAAGCCGTTGGCAGTGACAAGTTGCAGCGAACGAACGATCGGCCCTTTTCTGGGCCACTTTTTTTTTTTTTTTTCAAGTTGACGAAGCTGTACAATCCCGACAGTTAATCGATATCATGATCAATTTAAAACAGCACTTTTCAGTGCTAAATTTTCAATAAAAAAATTTATATTATTTTTTTATAAAGCAGCACTTTTCAGTGCTATTCAAACGTATGGTTAAATATAACATAGACTAACTATTTGTTTAATAAAAAAACTTATATAATTTTTTTAAAAAATCAGCACTTTTAAGTGCTATTCAAACGTATGTGCAAATATATCGTAGCCGCAAAGGTAAGTACTAAAACAATAACAATTTGAAATTACGAATAAATTCAACCTTGTGTTTTTCTTTATTCTTACCCCCACCCCTCCCATTTTCAGCGAAACAAGCAGGTAAGTATAAGGTAAGTATTTTTTCCCTTTTCTGGGCCACTTTTTTTGCAGTGCTAAATTTTCAATAAAAAAAATTTATATTATTTTTCTATAAATCAGCACTTTTAAGTGCTATTCAAACGTATGTGCAAATATATCAGTGCTAAATTTTCAATAAAAAAAAATTTATATTATTTTTTTATAAATCAGCACTTTTCAGTGCTATTCAAACGTATGGTTAAATATAACATAGACTAACTATTTGTTTAATAAAAAAAACTTATATAATTTTTTTTTAAAATCAGCACTTTTAAGTGCTATTCAAACGTATGTGCAAATATATCGTAGCCGCAAAGGTAAGTACTAAAACAATAACAATTTGAAATTACGAATAAATTCAACCTTGTGTTTTTCTTTATTCTTACCCCCCCCCCCCCCCCCCAATTTTCAGCGAAACGAGCAGGTAAGTATAAGGTAAGTATTTTTTTAATTAGTTAAAAAATATACACAATAAAAATAGTTCGTTTAATTCAGTGTACAAAATAATACTAAAAAAAAAACGATAATTTTTTTTTCCTAAATCATAAAATAATATACAGTTAGTATGCACTATTTTTAGAAAGAGCGACAATAACTCAGACGGTAGAGCACTGTCGTATAGATGCAAAGGAGGCTAGGTTCGATTCTCCTGTATATCTATTACCGAAAGATTATTACGAGAAAAAAAATTCGATAAATAATTAAAAATAATTAAAATATCGTTATTAAAAATAACAACAACAAAAAAAATGTCTCTAAAAATCAGTGCGTATATGCGACAGTTTTAATATTACCGAAAGATTATTACGAGAAAAAATTCGATAAATAATGTTACTAATTTTTTCTTATAGCGTATTAGATGTAGACAATTAATTATTTATATGTAAATTGTCAACAATTAAATTCAACAGAAAGGATAGGTAATTTCTTCTCAATTAAAAATAATTAAAATATCGTTATTAAAAATCAGTGCGTATATGCGACAGTTTTAAATGACGTCACTCGCATAGGCCGTTGAGTCAATTCCCCACAAGTTGTATGCTTTACATACGCATACGCGTGCGCACGTGTATGTATAACTCATAAAAATTAAATGAATTTTTTTATGCAATGTATGGCATGTATGGAATGAATGGAATGTATGGCACGTATGGCATGTATGGAATTTTTTAATGGAGGATGGAAGGGGAAATCTCAATCGTTCGTTATAAAAATGAGCTGCATCTCATCAGCAGTTGTATTCGCATCCAGAGTAAACTAGTGTAAAGTGTGAAAGAAGAAAGGTTATACGAACATTCTACAATGAGCTCCAACAAGATTGACTATAGGTAATTATTTGTTTTATTGTTTATAGAACACACTTTATATATTTTTTTTAAATTTTTTTATTTGTGCAGATTTGAGCAAGCGAGGCTGGATAGCTTCACGTCTCAATGGACATGCGCACACGTACGACCAGCAGATCTTGCTGCGGCCGGCTTTTATTATACGGGGCAGATCGATCAAGTACGCTGTTTTGAATGTGGTATGGAAATCTGTCGTTGGGAAGAAGGTGACGACCCTATGACGGAACATAAGCGCTGGGATGGCGGCTGCCTTTTCATTCGTAACAGAAGTTGTGGCAATGTGCCGATCGGATTGAGCCCCGTACCGGTACCTCCTCCTCGAAGAAAAAGTAAAGATGTTTGTGGACCGTATAAGCTCGAGTATCGGGCAGCAACAGCGTGCGCAACAACTAGCCTACCTTCGAGTACAGACGAGCCTGCGTTATCGTTATCGATTGAGAGTCTTGTTACAAAGCTTTTTTCCGATTTACATTTGACGGAGAAATGTGCTTCGAAAACCATAGCAAATGCAACTGTTGGTATGGTATCTGTTTGCGAAGAATTTGTACGCGGTTATAAGAAGAGTATCGATAAACAAAATGAAAAAATGAATAAAATTCGCGAAAGGGTTGAAAAGTCTCAGCGAGATATAGGCAATATTTTGCGTCAACTTGAAATTACCAGATGTAAGATATGTTTGGATGCTAGGATCGCTGTACTTTTTTTACCTTGTGGACATATCACTGTATGCATGGAATGTGCATCAAGAATTGACGATTGTCCAATATGTCGTCAAACTATTAGCAAACGCGTTCGTGCTTATTTTGCGTAAATTTGTTCTTGTTTGGTTTTAATAAAGTTCCTATTATTTTTAAAAAATGTTTGTGTACTTTTTTTTTCTCTTTTAATCTAATATTTTTTTTGTATTTTAATGTTATATTTTTTTGTTTCTAAAATTTATATATTATAAGTGAGTAAAAACAAGGATTGATCGATACGTTAATTTTTAAAATTTATTTTTCAAACTTAAATATAAAAAAATCAAATTACATATCACGACTTTTGCGAGCGAGCATCCATCTACTGATAGCCAGCGCGTTTTTAAAGGCACACGGTGGATTTGATAGATACGCGTTGTGGTTACTGCATACGGAAATGCTATCGTTTGAAATATTCTTGAGTGATGGACAACCCAAATCTTCAACGTTAACCACAGTCGTTCTGTAAAAAAAATCATTAGATATCATTTTTTTTCTCTTTAAGATGATACGCGACGAAAAGACACTTACTGTGCATTGGTCAACAAATTTCTCAGCCATTTTGTTTTTTCAAGACCTTTGACAAAAATAGTTGCTCCAAAAAGTGTTTTTTTGATTATTTTTCCAAGATCGTCGTACGGTAAATCGCCAGATTCCCACGGAATACCATGAAAATTTCTCGCTAACCACCGGTTTTCACACTGATTTTTCTTTAATAACCACTCCCATGGGTAAGGTGGTTTAAACAGAAGCACCGATGGAGTTGGATCTTCTTCCAGAGGACAAACAGCAATCTCCTTGAATACGAATTCGTTTAAGCTAGTTTTGAAGCCCTGTACGTCTACAACAAAATCCATCGTAGTAACTGAGGAATCGACGTCGACGACTGCGTCAATACAGACGAATGAATGTCTTTTTATACTGAGCTTGCACTTGTTGATGCCCCACTATAATTTTTCGATCAATCACAATCGTTCACCCCCCTCTATACTTTTTCCAACCAATCAGCATTGACGAGTAATGAATATAACGCGATGGATTTGTCAAATCTGCTCAGTTGAGTAACTAGCATCATGGCTGAGTATTTCAAGAACACAGCTTTGTTGCTCTTGCGCGCACATCGTCTGGCGAATGCAGGTGATGCTAGTGTCGAAGACATCGAAAGATGGTTGACACTGGGTTCATTGGCTTTGCGCAAAGCCGATGAGCTTTCTCGTTCGCCTAGCTTGATCGTGTCTGGCAAACAGAAGCTGCAGGCAGCTATGTGTATGATTAGAAGCGTTTTACATCTGCTAAACGAATACAAGAGTAGGCTGTTGGCACAGCCCCCCATTGCCACCTCATCGATTGCCGAACCTGTGGTGAGCAAACATAGCGAACAATCCATATACGAACCTCTCGTTATTTTAGATGTAGTTGGTGAAGGTCTCGAACCGGCTAGTACTACTACTACTACTACTACTACTACTACTACTACTACTACTACTACTACTTCTACTACTACCACTACACCGGCTGTTGTTAATCCAGCTCAAGACTCAACAGTTCACTGGAACGACATCAATAGTGCGTTCAAAGGCAGAATAAAGACTGGTGTGATAACCAATCTGAAACATCTGGATTTGAATGCGTTTTTGAGGCATGCCAAACCATTATTCCATGCTCAAATTAAGGAGACCTTGGAGAAACATAGTTCTTTAAAAGTTAATGCCGTACTGGATGCCGAGTATGCAGTCGAAAAGAATAATTGCGATGAAAAGCTCGATGTGAAGCATTTCAATACGAAGATGGCGCCGATATACCTAACCACAGACATAGACGAGTGGTTCGTCGAAAACGTTTTACAACCAATTAGTAAGAGCACGGAAGAATTTCAAGAGCAAGACTCAGGCTGGTCTCTTCGCGTTATATTAAACTTAACCGTAAATATCAGCAAGTACAATCCTATGAGAGTTGGTTCTTACGTTGAATTGCCCAAGCCTGTTAAAAATAAGAAAGCCTGTGTGAACGTGCGGAACAACGATAACGAATGCTTCAAATGGGCCATCCTTTCGGCGTTACATCCAGTCGCAAGGAATGCATGCCGTGTCACTGCCTATACTGCACATCAAGATAAATATAATTTCAAAAATCTATCATTTCCGGTACAC